TACATTTTTTAATTTTTCTACGGCACAACATCCTGCCATGGCTCATTATTGCCCTGCTATTTAATTCTATTTATTGGAGTTACCAAAAGGAGCCGGAGGTCACACCTCATTTATCACTTATTTAAAAGTAAAGTGTTCGATTTAAAGAAATCAATGTGTTCTTGACTTGACTTTAGTGGCGCTTTCCAAGTTTTGTAAATAGTGTATTAATTTTTATATATTTGTATTTATTTATATTTTTATGGAAACATTGTTTTATACTATAACATGTAGAATTATTTTAATTATTTTAAGTATTATTATTTTTTATGCTAAAAAACGTATATATAAACATTTATTCTAATGATAAAGAAAACAAATGTTTTACATTGTTTTTGATACAAGAAACCACCACCTTTTCGCGGTTTTCGTTGAGCAACAATGTGTACGTAGTACATTTATAAAACTTAAATATAATAGTATTCTTAAAGTAAGTTTAAAACCAAGTAAAGCCACTGGTCCTGGGTGGAGATAGATATCAAATTCAATACGATTTAAATTGCGATGCTTTGTTTAACCGTGGACGTTTCGATCAGTCTTTATTATTGATCATCTTCAGCACTAATTACAAAAAGGTACATGAAAGAATAAATAACATGATAAAATAATATGAAGTAAATAAAATAAAATTAAATAAATTATATTAAATAAATTAAATGTGTGAAATTAAATTAATTAAATTAAATTAAAGTAATTAAATTTTAAATTAAATTCTTGTTGCAAGAATACTTTTTTTCTTTTACTGTATATTATATGTAATTGCAAGCGCAAAGTAAAAAATATATTACCAGAATATTTTTTACGTAACAACCGACATTAAAATATATTTTTATCTCTATGTATTTTAACAATACATATATCAACAATATGTATATTAACAATAAGTATATTAACAATAATTTTGCTCAATATATACTCTTAAGTATACTTTTCTTTTTTTTGTTTAAAACAAAAAGACGTACATTTTGGTCAAGAATGGATTTATATTCTTTACTTTTCATTCATGCTTCTCATATGTGTTATAAGGTGCTTGTATAAGGTTAAACAGTATGTTTAATTATATGTTTTAGTTATATGTTTGTTTATGTAATTCTCGTTTGAGTTATCGGTCGGT